AACAAAAAAACTAAGCATGACTAATAAAAACTCAACTATTTGTGAGGTATGCCTATCTCTGAGTAGACATTTAAAATGACATACTTCTGTGTTGGAGCTAGGACAGAACACAAACTTATATAGTGCTGGAGATATTATAAATTAATAGCCTTTTTGAAGCCTGGCAATATATTATAACTAGAAATATTAATTCTCTTTGATTCTGATATTCTGTTCTGGTGTGAATAGGAAAATAATATGCATAAAGAATTAGAGAAAATTTAAAGAAATAATAAAATGGAATCAATCAAGCCAAGCATGGTAGTCCATGCTTGTAATCGCAGCTATTTGGGAGGCTGAGGCAGAAAGATTGCATGACACAGGCCAGTCTGAGTAACTCAGCAAGATCCTGTCTTAATAGAACATTTTTAAAAAATGTTATTTTTAAAAAACATGCTAAAAAGCATTCAGTGGTAAGAGTGCTTGCTTAATATGTATGAGGCCCTGGGTTCCATTCCTAATTCTGAAAAAAATTAAAAAAAAAAAAAAGGAAACTGCAAAGTATGTAGTGCTTGTTTCCCTAAGCATTCTGCTGACTGGTTCAGTTGAGAACATTCATTTTATCCCTACCTCAATGTTCTGCTTTGACCTACTCTTAAAATACAGAGGTAAGTCATGACAAACTCAGAAGCAAAAAATGTGAAGTCCATGTTTCTGATGAACGCCAGAACCTGTAGTAGGCAGTAGGTTTTCCTGGGCTCACTTACATGACCTTGCCCTCTGACTTTTCCCAAAGAAGCTCTATAAACTGTCAAAGGACACTGAAGCCAAACTGGAACACAGACATGATCTTGTGAAAGCAATTGCTCTTTTCTTACATAGCTAAGTCTGTGCTTGACATCTGGTTTTGCCAGACCAAGCAAAATATCACTTAGGGATATTCTTCACATCATAAAACCATAAAAAGAAGCAAAAGAATAATCATCAACTCAGGAATATGAGGAAGCAAGCACAGTGGTACACTCCTGTAATCTCAGCTACTCAGAAAACTGAGTCGGGAAGATGGCAAGTTTGAAGCCAGCATGGGCAACCAAGCAAGACCCTGTCTAAAAATAAAAAATTAAAAGGGCTGGAGGTGTAGCTCAACAGTAGAGCACCCCTGGATTCAATCCCAAGACTGCGAAACAAGCAAGCAAACAAACAACAAATAAAATAGAATTTGAGGAGGAATCCAAACAGGGAAGGGAATTAAACTGAGTAGGGGTATACAGGAGATTTCAAGGTACTAGTAATATTCTATATAGACAGGTACATAGATGTAATTTTATTGGCATTCTTTAAACTATACAACTGTATAGGTATATCTTTACTTTTCTACATATATATCTCACAATAAAATTAATTTAAGAATAACAGTCTTACTAGGATTCTGATTGGGTTTTCACAAATTTATAATCCGGAAACACCGACATTTTAAAGCTTTCTCAACAGGAAAGGAATGTAATTATTTTCATTTACTTTGTTCTTTTTTCATATTTTTAGCTGAGTTTTAAGTCTTCTTCATTTACATCTTACACGTTTTCTACATTTCAAACTTATCCAACTTTTTGCAACAATGAATAAGCTGCTTTAATATTACGTTTTCAAATTTACTTATTAAGGGAAAACTACTAATTTCTGTAAGTTAAACTTGCATCCTGCAATCTTACTGAACTCTATTAGTGGTTCTAATTGTTTCCAGTTGATTTGGATTGTCTAGGTAATTAATTCACCTCCAACTCTTACATATTCTAAAGCCTAATAATAAAGCCTATCCCCCATTACCATCCTTTTTTTCTCAAAATATTCTTTTGCATTTCTTGGTCACTCATTTTCCTTAATAAGGTTTCCCTTTACTGGGTTAAGACCTTCTGATGGAACAATTCTTGATTTCCCATCTGATATACTGATTAGTACCTCTGAGACTACTGTCATCAGTAGTAGTCTATGCTCAAATACTACTGTAATAAAATTTCTTTACAAATTTTCTCCATTTTCATAGAAATAGGAAATTCAATCTTGATGGATTTATCTCATACTCTGCCATTTTGCTCATATCATTCATCATGTTCTTCTGTTTTTTCTAGTTGATTTCTTTTTTATCAGGGGTGTGTGTGTGTGTGTGTGTGTGTGTGTGTGTGTGTGTGTGAGAGAGAGAGAGAGAGAGAGAGAGAGAGAGAGAGAGAGAGAGAGAGACTCCCTGTGTTGCCCAGGCCAGTCTCAAACCATCCCCCCCATTTAGCCTTCCAAGTAGCTGGGGCTATTTGTGCACACAACCATGCCCAGCTTTCTATTTCTTTTACCATTTGTTTTTGTAAAATTGGAGTAAATGTATGAGATACCCTTGTTTTCATAAATACCTATAGATGTTCCCTGATATAACACAGGCTCTGGCTCTTAGTTTTAAACTAAAATTGGTTGCATTTATAAAGTAAACCAGGTTACTGGGAGAGAGGGGAAGGAGGATATTTTTCACTGTATACTTATATGTACCTTTGGAATTCTGAAACATATAAACGTATTATTTCTTAAAAAAATAAAGTTTATACCAATTAAATACATATATACTTTTTAATCAAATAAAAATGCTTCTTATTCCAATTTTAGAATATGTCTTAGGAATGTAATCTGTATAATCACTTCTCAGCATCTCCCGACACATGTACATTAGCTTCTCTAATAGACTCTTTAAGAATTTTTCTTTATTAAATTGCTTTGTATTCTTAGAATAAATATAATTTTGTTGTTACCAGAGATTGAACCCAGGAATGCTCGACCACTGAGTCACATCCCCTTTTAATTTTGAGACAGGGTCTCACAAAGTTGCTTAGGGCCTCAATAAGTGGCTGAGGCCAGTTTGGAACTTCTCCTGCCTCAGCCTTCTGAGCCTCTGGGATTACAGGCATGTGGCACCACACCTAGCTAGGATAAATATAATTTTGACCATCAATACAGGTTGAGTAATCATTATATAAAATGCCCAGATCCAGAAGTGCTTCAAATTTTAGAATTTTTTCAGATTTAAGAATGTTTGGGCTGGGGATGTGGCTCAAGCGGTAGCGCGCTTGCCTGGCATGCGTGTGACCCGGGTTCGATCCTCAGCACCACATACCAACAAAGATGTTGTGTCTGCCGAGAACCAAAAAATAAATATTAAAAAAAAAAAAAAAAAAAAAGAATGTTTGCGGGGCTGGGATTGTGGCTCAGCAGTAGAGGGCTCGCCTAGCACGGGCGGGACCCGAGTTCGATCCTCAGCACCACATAAAAATAATGGCATTGTGTTGTATCCATTTACACCTAAAAAAATAAATATTAAAAAAAAAAAAGTCCTACAGAAGTAGGACTTAAAAAAAAAGAATGTTTGCATAAACATACTGAGATATCTTGGGAATGGGACCCAAGTCTAGACAAAATTCATTTGCATTTCATATATACCTCATACATGTACCACTGAAGTAACTATATAATACTTTTAGCAGACCTGCATTTTGACTGTGACCCATCATATGAGATCAAGTATAGAATTTTCTACTTGTGCTCAAAAATTGTGGATTGTGGAGCATATCAGATTTTAGGTTTTGGATCAGGATGCTCAATCTATAATTCTTCTAATATTCCTGACAGAGAAAGAATTTTAGGGTTAGAAAAGAGTATCTGGTATCTTTGTAAATCAGAAAAACCTACACACACAGAACAGTCAAAATGCAAACAAAAACATTTAAAGCCAATAAAGCTTAAATGATTTGTTGAAGGATGAGAAACCAAGACTTACAACCCCTTGGCTCAATATTTGGCTTAAGTTTTTTTTTTTTAACTAATTTTGTACCAATACCAATATGCAATATTTGAAAACATTTTCCTTTTATAATAAGGGTTCTGAATGATAAACAATTTACTCCATAAAAGCAGTATGGGTTTGTTGCTGTTCTAGGTTTAAAAACCTCTAGAGTCAGTTCTTTCTTTTTTTTTTTTTTTTTTTAACATTTCTTATTTCATCCTAATATAGAATTATTCCAGGTACCTTTGTATTGACCTCATTTGGGCATTTATTTTTTTGTGTCAGCTATTTCAAATATATTAATGACATAATTATGTGTCAGCCTCTAAAAATAATGTTTTATCATTCTGATTTTCAGATTCCTTATTATAAATTATCAATTAAGTCAATTATTTACTGATTTTTACTGTTTTTTCAAAGGCTAAACCTCTTAGTTTCTATTTACACCTTACTGATTTGATCATCCTAAATCCAATGCACACTACTTAACAAATGTCCATTAAATTATAAAACTACACTTCTCTCTTTTTTCCTTTCTTTGGTGCTAGGGATGGAATCCAGGATATTGCACATATTACCTATCATAGGCTACACCCCCAACCCCATGTTTCAGTTTCTAAGAAGGCAATGAAATCAATCTTCAAGTAATTTCTAATTTTCAAAAAGCACAACAAAAATGATTTTTACTTAGTCAAGACTCCATAGACTAAAGTGTCAAGTTTCTTGCTTTAGGCTACCACTGTAGGTGAAAATAAAAAGCATCAATGTTAGCTGGGCATGGGGGTGCACACCTATAACCCCAGCAACTCAGGAGGTTGTGGTAGGAAGATCCCAAGTTCAAGGCCAGCCTCAGCAACTTGACAAGACTCTATGTCACAAAATTATAAAGGCTAGGGATGTAAGCATCCCTGGATTCAAACGCCAGTATCAAGAGAAAAAAAAGGGGAGGCATGTTAATTTGATAGATGAAAGAAAATTTAAAACATGAAGACCAAGTGCAGTATAAAGGCTGGGTAGAAACAAATAAAACCCAAAGCTTTCTTTTAGGGTTGCTACTGAGCTTTCCCACAGCACCATCTAGTGGACATCCAGCAACTTTTACCACTATCAATAAGGAGAATGACAAAAGGAACTACAGATTGGATTTTTCAAAAATACCTGCAATCTCTGAAAAATTGCTGCATCATTAGCTGACTACACATACCTGAATGAGGTCCAAGATCCCAAGTTCACTCTCTGATGAATCCACACAAAATACAAAGTAGAGGGTAGCATAGTGCCGGTAAATCAATTTGTAGTCAGCGCCACCAATCAAACTGTGGAAGATGGAAAACATTTAAACGTCTTTATTTTAAACTCTGCCAAGGAATGAGAAAGGGCCCAATCAAAAAGGGAAAGCTAAATGCTAAAAGCAGACCATTTCTACCATGTAAATGGCAACCAAGTTTGGTAGAGATACCTAAAGCCACCTTAACTCACCTTTTTTCCTGCCAATCCTCCTAGGCACCAAATATCTACCTGTGTAATACATGAAGCACAATAATGCAACTGCTTCACAAACAGAAGTGGGCTCTTGAGTAAATCATGTTCAAGTTGCATCAAGTACACACATACTAGAGTATGACAGAAGAACAATAATGATGAAGGCCACCCAAAAGTGGTGATATGGAGAGAAAAGTGAAGCTGAAAGTTTACCTTCCACCCTCCAAGAAGTTACAGATGTTGTCATCCCGCTTGAGGACTAGATGGAAAGTCTCTCGAACAATCTGCTGTTGAATTTCTTCTGGCTATGGACAAAACAACAACAATAACAAGGTAAATCAGAGGACAAATTTTAAAAACTACATCCCATCATTGAGGATGGCCAGGGAAAACAAGTGCTTCAAAACTGGGAACAACATTTAGTACTAGTTTCCCAAAAAAGATAAAAACAACGGGTAGTGAAAAAACAGTGACTATAGAAAAACAGAATTTGCTATAGGAATTAAGACTGGGTATATGTACTAGGTATCTTGGTCACCAACTATTTATAAGTAAGCTGCAGGGCTGCAGACATAGCTCAGTGGTAAAATGCTTGCTTAGCAATATAAAGAGCCTTAAGTCTGATCCGAGCACAGCTTTATAAATAAAAATAAAAACTCATATAAAGAATAACCAAAGTCCTGATCCTAAAGTTTGTCTTCTACTGGAAAACATCTATGACAAGTAAATAACAAACCTCGATGGTTCTAACACTCCGTGAAGATCAAGATGTAATCATTTACATGTTTTAAGAAACTAAATTTGCCCTCGTTTGTAGTGGTTACACAGGTACTACATATAAAATCGATGTTACCAGTGGAGTAAAGCAGTGAATGCCTGTAATCCCAGGCACTTGGGAGGCTGGCAGGAGAATTACAAGTCTAAGGCCAGTCTGGGCAACTCAGCAAAACCCTCTCTCAAAATAAAAGTTTTAAATGGGCTTGAGGTGTAGCTCAGTGGTAAGAGTGCTACTGGGTTCAATTCCCAGTACTGCTAAGGAAAAAAAAAAAAAGAAAGAAAGAAAGAAAGAAAAAATGCTGTTATCAACAAAGTTATTGAAAAAGAAAAAGTTCTTTGCACAGTTGAGAATTTAGAACAGTTGAACAGAGCTAAAAATATTTTTTGCACTTACCATTCAATTACCACACACTTGATAACTCACATTTTACTTCCACTTCTACATATGTGTTTCACAATATTACTAGTATGGTAACATAAAAAAGGATAATAGGAGGGAGAAGCCGGTCAATAAGACAGAAAGTAATGAAAAGCTCTAGTCCCAAGTTCTCAAATCTACTAATGTGTAAGCAATCAGCTAGGACTACTGTATAGATGTAGATTCTGATTTACAAGGTTTAGGTTAGGTGCTGAGACTGCAGTTCTAACAAGCTCCCAGGTGATGTCAATGCTGCTGAATTGGGACCATGAGTAAGTAGCAAAGCTTTTTTTTTTTAATTTTTAAATAAAAAGGAAAAAAAAATCTTCAGATTGAACCTGCCCCAAGAGTCAGATAATATGATCAAGTAAAATTTAAAAAGTTATTAAGTAGAAAAAGAAAACAGGGAAAATGTCATTATGAGGAAATTACTTTGACTCAGTGTGGGTATAGAGTGGCTCAGTATTTACTGAATAGATTAATACAAACTTGCTAATCACTGGTCACTGCTAATTAGAGTAAATCAATCACTATTATCCTGGTTTCTACCTAAAGAACACACAAAGCTCACAGATGCTAGGATGTTGTAAAAGATTAACTCTGTGTGCTCAGAAATACAAAACATGCCAAACATCAGCATTTTTTGAAACTGACAAAAACATCTTTTAAACTAAAGCCTTTCATCTGACTCTAGGGGGAAGTGGCAGCAGTGAGAAGGTGGTATGAAAGAATGAGACCAACTAATTTCTACTTCATCAAAAAGGCAAACTACCAATTGCCTCCATGCTTCAGTTATTTTTAACAACCCCTCATATCTTTTTAGGACTCTGCAGTTTTCAAGGGACTTTCACTCATTAACTCATGAGTTCTTATAAAAATCCTATGATATCCAAAGACATAGAAATGGCCAATAAGCACAAGAAAAGATGCTCAACATCATTAGTCATTATGGAAATAGAAATGAAAATCACTTTATACCCACTAAAACGACTTTACTTAAAAAGGCAAACAACAGGTTTTTGTGAGGATGTGGAGAAAAAAGGAATCCTAATACACTGCTTATGGAAATGTAAAATGGTCTGCCACTTGTAAAACTGTTTGGCAGTTTCTGAAAAAATACACTACAGAGTTACCACATGATCCAGCAATTCTACTTGTAGCTGTGTAGCCAAGAGGAATGAAAATATATGTCCATGCAAAAACTTATTCGTGAATGTTGAAGCAGCATCATTCACTAGAGCAAAGAGTAGAAACATCAACTGATGGACAAAATATGATATTATCCATACAATGGAACATTATGATAATAAAAAGGAATGAAACACTGATACATTCGTGCTACAACATAGAACACTGAGAACATTTTACTAAATGAAAGACTACACATTGTTATGGATCCATTTATATGCAATGTCCAGAATGGGCAAATTAAGAGAGACAAAAAGTAGGTAAAAGGTTGCCTAGGGCTGGGAATGTTGAAAGAGAAATAGGGAATCACTGTTAATGGATAGGAGTTGCTTTGGTGGGCGAGATGATAAAAATGTTCTAAACTTGACTGTGAAGGATGTTATTGTACACTTTAAATAGGTGAACTGTATGTTATGGTGACTTACCTCTCTAACACACACACACACAGGTTTCTCTCAAATATAAATTGAAAAGTTATACTGGATGCTCATAATTTTTTTTTACCTCAATGTAATCTACTCAATAAAATGTAACCTAGCTTTTAAAATTTTGTTTAAAAAAAAGTAAATTATTTTTTCATTTCTATTTGACAAAAGAGAAAATAAAAGTCTGAAATAGGTTTATTAACTTGCCAATAGACACAAGAATAGAAAAGGTGGAGCTAAGGCCTGAATGTAAGTTTTGGGTTTCAATCTCCCCGTTATATAACAATTTTGAAACCTGGGAAGAAATAAAATGTTGAGGGTCAGGACCGCAAATAACGATATTTCTGTTTTTCCAGAGGAATATTTTTGGAAAATTCAAAGGAAATGCTTATTGAGCCTTCACGTGGCAGCATGTATAATTCCTCATCATTTTTCCATTTTCAAAGTGATTTTGTTCAATCCTACTGAGTAAAAGGCAGTAGTCCCTAGGCAGCCCCAGCTACCACGGGGGGGGGGGGGAATTCCAAGAAAGAATTTTTTCAGATCCCCTGAAAAACAAAAACTGTAAGAAGCCGAATGTCTATTTCCTCGAGAATCTTCGGTCAACAACCAAAAAGATTAAAGAAAGTGACTTAAACCATTTAAGTTCTCAATGAGACACACTCCCCACCGTCTCTCATACCTGGTGCCGAGACGCAAATGTCAGAAAATAACACAGAAAATATGGAGTCTAGAAAGGGTTCAGAAAAGAGCGGGGGCAGCGGGACTGGAAACCAAAGGCCTGACACCCCCCAGTTCAGGGAAAGAGGCTAAGTAGCGTGAGGGTCGTGCACAGTGCAGTAGCCTGATGGGGTCAGCAGGCAGTGCGGGGTGAAGGCTAGGGGCCTAGGGGGCGTTCAGAAGGGGCGTGGCGAACCGGGCGGCACTCACGAAACGCTGGTAGAAGCGAACCAGCCGAGGCTTCCCGTGGTTGTTGAAAACCAGAATCGCCTGAATCATCTTTGCCAGGGACGCTTCCCTCGGAATCTGCTGCTACCAGAAAGCGCCTCCTTCCGTCACAACACAGGCACTTCCGGTTGGTGCCTTGCTAAGAGCCGCTCCCGGAAACTCAGCTCCAGCGCCCAGGAGCCCGGCTATCCAAGGGTCCCGCCTCTCTGGGGAGGGCGAGTGTGGGCTCCTAGGACCGGCGTCTCCCTGGCCCGCATCAGTTGGCCAGTCAGAACCTGACCGGAACCGGATTCTGGATCTGTGCACCCCCAGCAGACTCCAGAATCCCGGCGCACAGCAGAGCACTTCGGAAAAGCTGATCCTGAAGCTGCCGCTCCTGCGGTGGAGAAGAGACAGTGGAACCTTGCCTTTCTCACCATCTGCACCAAACACGCATTCCTGCCCTCCCCATAACGCTCGCAGAGCGCTCTCGGAGTGGAGAGCCGCTGAGTTTAGCCATTCTTCGGTTCATTTTTATTTTTCAGTATTACAGACAGACAATGCTGCAGTGATTTATATAAATGTCTCATGGTGCAAATAGGCTGCTTCTCCACGGTAGATGGTGTATGTTGGAATTACGGGCTCTTTAATGCAATTCTATGTAAAAGGTACCGGAGATCACAAATTGATAATGTTCTTGTTTTCTCTTTTAATGACCTAATATGGATGAGATGGAGCATGTCCTTACACTGCGGGTGACTGCATATCTATTCTGCTGCAAACAGGGGAACCATTTCATTTGATGTGAGTCAAAAGACTTTATGTATTATATATAACATTATATTCCAGTTCCAGAATCTATAATAAAATGTGGATGTGTGAAAAGATTTAGACTTGAGAAGGTTACGTGTCAGCAGTGTTATTACAGGGGAAAATGGGAGGCAAGCTATTCCAAAATGAGAATTTGGTTAAATGCATTGTTCTACATGCATAAGAAATTCTAAATGGTTTTTATGAATGATTTATGATACAGGAAAATGTTCACGATCTATTAAGTGAAAAGATTACACAGAATATGTACAGGACAATTCACTTTGCACAAGACAAGGTAAATACACTAAAATATGAATAATAATTGTATCTGGTGGAATGGCAGCGTCAGCAGGTTTTTTTGTTCAGCGCAGGCCCTGGAACCATACTGTCCTGATTCAAATTATGGCTCTGGCACCTTGGGTAAGTGTTCTCATTTGTAGAACAGGCATAATATCAAGTTTCCTTACCTGGAATACTGGGAAATGATTCTACTCACCCCAGACACAAAAGGAATTAATATTTGTTAGTATTTGGAAGAGAGTATTTGGAACATAATTGAGTACTAGATAAATGATTTTAAAATATCTTTGGGTGGTCGGATTATGGATTTTTTTTTCTAATAAATATATATTACTTTTGTAGTCAAGAGGGTTTTTTAATAAATAAAAATCCAGAAGTTAATTCCACTGAAACTTAACAAAATGTTTTAAGTGTTGAGGAAGAATATCCAAGAAAACTCTAAAACAAAATTAAGAGGAACAAGTTCTACCAACTACTAAATCCTACTAGAATGGTTTAACTTGTAATTAAAGGGAGACTTATTGAAATATAATAGATAATTTAGGCATAATATAATTTTAATCAATGATAAAAACAAATTGTAAACAAAAAATTGTAATTTGACATTGTTAAGAAATTTTGTGAATATTGTTAAGGTAACCGATTAGCAATTTGAAAATAAGCAGTTTCCTCACTTTCAGTTTGGGTATATACTAGTGTTGAACCCAGGTACACTTTACCACTGAGCTTTTTTTTGTTATTATTATTGCTTTATTTTAAGACATCCCCAATGCTTTTTTTTATTATTATTGTTTTATTTTAAGACAGGCTGGCCTGGAACTTGGAATACCTCCTGAATAGCTAGGATTACAGGCTTGCACCACAATGCCTGGCCACTGAATATCTAATATCTGAAAAGAGACTGTATTAGCTTAGAAACAATTTTTTTAAAAATCACAAAATGTCAACAACTGTATGTATATAAAGATTATAATTTTGCACGAAGAGGGAATTTTTGAAAGTGGAAAAATAGTTGTTGAAATATGGCAAATGATCATATTTAAAATACAGTAGATAAATGAGTAAAGAAACTGAATAACAAAAGAGGAAATAGATACAGGAGATAAAAAATGCTTAGGCTCACTATAAATGGGGAAAAGGACAAATTAAAATATATTAAAGTGTATTTTCACCTTATCAAATATCATTTTTAAAAATTTTTTTGTATCCAATTCTGGCAAAAAAAAAAAAAAAGCATGAAAATGGTTCTCTCCTACATTGCTAGTGAAATTCCCCTTTGGGGAAGCAATTTGGCAAGATAACAAGAATTTTACAAAAGATTCTGAGATTCCCAGTAATGTGACTCCTGGGAATCTGTTCTAAATAACAAACAAACAAACAAACAAACAAACAAACAAAAAACAAACCAAGAGTGTGGCGGGGGAGAAGAGGGTTGAGGGCATAGCCTTTTCAACATTTTTCGTTGAATAAACATTTTTTGTTGGCTAAATGGACTTAAATACCCCAGAATTAGACCATGATAGAACTATTCAACAGTTGTCAATGTTATAAGTGATGGTTATAAAGACTATGTAGCAGTATGAAAAGTGATTATGTAACATTAATGGGAAAAGTAATATCAGATTTTATGTGTAGACATATTAAAAAACAAAATACTAAAAAAAATTTATAAACATGAATGAATGAAATTCTGGGTTTTGTTTTGTTTTTTTAACCCCCAGGGTGCTAGGATGAATCCAGGGTCCCCACACAGTTGCTAAGGCATAGCAGCTTTCATTCTCCTGCCCTAGTTTTGGGGAAGAGGGTTTTGCCTCAGTTTCCCTACCCTCTGAGCCTGGAACCCTCAACCCTTTTGGTTTTTCCTCCTCCCCTACACTCCCTAGACACAGGCTGGGCTTCTGCAGAACCTTCATATCACAATACAATTTACCCGGACACTGGATATCATTCTTGGGCCCATCCTCTTCCATGTCCTACTGATTCTGCCCCTGAGTGCCCCTGGAACCATTTTCTTCTGCCCACTCAATTAGTGCTATAGACCCCAAATTGTCAGCCTCACACCTAGACAATTGTGAGGGTCTCCTATGAACTTATTACTGCCAGTTTCTCTGCAGCCAAATGAGCTTTGAAACACCTGAAGATGAGACCATACCTGATCTCCATCTCAAGAGTCTTAGTTCAAATATACCTCCCACACCCCCAACTCCCACCCTCTGAGCTCTGGCAAAAATGGTCTTTCCCTTCCTCAGTCCCCTCCAAGACCCTGAATCCTGATTGTTGCTTCAGGACTTCCAGTAGTTAATATGGTCTTTGAAACCTGACATAAAAGGCCTCCTTGTTTGCAGTGGTGGCCTGCTTGTGAGTTTACCATCAACCACAGTGCTTTGGATAGCAGGGTACCTGCACTGGGTGTTTCTACCCTCAGTCAATGTCCCAGTTCACCTCCTGCTCAATCACCTTCCTGACCACCCCCAAGGCTGAGGGCCCAACTTGAGTTGCCTATAAACCAGCTCCATTCAGATATAGGCCACCAGTGAGGTGGCTACTACATCCTCTGGCCCCTATATCCAAAACTCTTCTATAGGTCAGGAAGCAGAGCACAGTGGAAGGCATGTAAGCTTCACCTTTGACAGCTCTGGATTTGAATCCCACTCTGCCATTTTTTTCGCTCGCAAGTTCTTAACCTCTCTGAGCCCCGTTTTTTCCTGTGTAATGTGCATGTGGAAACAAAATAGTCCAGTAGTTAATATGGTCTTTGAAACCTGACTGCCTGGGTTTAAATTCCTCTCTCAGATAGTATCCATGGAGCCTTGGACCTTCAGTCTCAAATGAAATAATGGGGACAATAATCATGTGTACCTCATAGGATTGTGACAGTTAGGCAAGCTATTGGAAGTACTTAGCACAAGTACTAGCACCAGGAAGAACACAATAGTGAGTGGCTGTAATGATGATGGGAAGCACCCAGCACTGTTTGAAACATCGGAGAGACTCAATAAATGCTAATTTCCCACCACCCTCTTTTCCCCAGGTCAAGAAGGATTCATATTCCATGGACATGCAGATTCCACTTCGGATCTCATCACATCTGGGTGTCACAAACTGTCACAGAACACTTCCAGGGCAAGGTTCATGACCCAAGACCAATGGCTTTCTTCTAGGAACATTGCTCAGCTTCAAGACCATTAACACCAAGCAGGAATCCAGTCAGTGTAGAAGAAAATTTATTCATTTGTGAAAACATTCTCAAAGTACAAAAAAGGGTATCAAAAATGTAGTTCAGGGCTGGGGATGTAGCTCAGTGGCAGAGAGTGCTTGCCTCATATGCTTGAGGCCCTGACTTTGATCCCCAGCACCACAAAAACAAAAAAATATGTGGCCTGGCAGAGCAAGTCTGAAAGCAAAGGACCAATCAGCCACACTTGTGAAGGCTGTTGGCCTCCCTGAGAACAGCTACCCCTATGGCAGCAGCCAGGGAGGTCAGGAAACCCCAAGGGAACATGGAGTTAGAGGAGCAATGAAGGACTGGCACCTTAGGTGTGGAATGGGAGGAAATGGGGGAGAAGGAGGCTTGAAGCAGGGGAGAAGGGGCTACAGTAGAGTGCTGGGAAGGAGGCCGGGTGGAAAGAAGCAGGAAACAGATTGGAGAAAAGAGCCCACTAATTTCTCCTCAGAAGTCCTCTGTCTTTAGACAGGAGAAGAATCCCCCGTGAAGCACCAAGACCAAGTCCAGTTCCTCCCAAACTGCCCTGGGGTACTTGCCCACTACCTGCCTCCAAAACAAGGCGGTCACTAGGGCAGGAAGTGTCATGAAATTATCTAGAAGGTTGGACTTGCATTTAAGCCACAGTTTAGGGTCCCTCCAACCACATCGTGGTTTTGGATTTGATTTCAGCATGCTCTAAAAGCAGCTGCAGGAAGAACTGAGTAAGGCTTGGAAGACTGGTCTCCAGCTTCAGCATGGAGGTCGCTGAAGGAAATTGTCCACGGTGCCATAGAAGATGCAGGTGGCCCCAGAGGCATCCATGCTTCATGAATCTCAGTCATCCTGGAGCAATCCAAAGCGGGTAAAGTAAAGAGAGGTGAACAGAGCATATTTCATAAAAGTTTTCTGTAAGTCATCAAACAAGGATTCAATTGCACAATGCCCATAGGACCCTTGGCCACATGCCTTGTCCTCACATCATTAGAGCTTGACCCCAGAGCCAGCCTGGCCACTCCACTATTTGTCGACTGGCTTTATTAAGACAGAAGCGGGTCCAGACCTTCCGCACTACCTGCTCTGGCTTTCTTTGGCCAAATTCATCTTCATCATGAGAGGAGGATACCAATTTTCTTTAACTTCTTTGCTAACTGTTCTATCTGGGGTCTTTTTACATCAATTCAAATCTTCAGGTGAAATGTACTTAGAAAATTGGCTTTCAATCAGCTGAGGATCAACTAGAAGGCTGACCTTCAGTATAAGAAACACTAGAAAGGACCAAGTCAGCCATTTTCTGGCCACATCAGGCAGGGAGCCCAGACCAAGGAGAAAAAAACATGCACTCAGCGGCTCAGAGGCTTCCTTTCCAACGAGAAAGGTCTCCTTAAAGGAATCTCCCTGATGTTTATACACTCTGGGGAATTTTGCAGAACTCCATAAAAATTAGGGGGTACAATTTATCCTGCTATCTCCTCATCTGAGCCCCAACCACAATCAGTATGTACAAAATTCCAGCCAAGAGATAACAAGCACACCAAAGCCGCCTCCTTGTCTTACCCACTCCTCGTCCTCTGCCCCATCTCCCTGCTCTCGGATCTCCACTGTAGCCCCATCTGAAGACTTCTGGGCCATGATATTGTCTGTCCAGGATGCCCCTGTCTTTCGGTCACCAGCAAAATTACACTTGGTCACTGTTCCAGCCTCCAATTTGGCTAATGAATCTGAAAGAAGAGAAGAAGTTGAATGTCCTATCTCTCTGTGGTAGAACAGTGAGGGCTGGGCCATTCTGGTGGGGTCCCCTAGACCTCGGTTAAGTCATTGTTCTCTCCAAGGTCTAGATGTGGTCAGTGAAGCCATGGATGGACCCCACAAATCACTAGATAGCAGGGGTCAGTCACAGGAACCTAAGGATTGGGTGGCACCATAGGGTATCCAGGTTAATGACCCAGGGCACTTGTCTAGGAACTGAGGAATAAATCTCAAGAGGTTGGTTAGGTCCCCAGGGAAGGCTAGACCTGGTATGCAACCATAATTCTAAGCAGGAAGGATGGAGAGCCTCAGAAGAGACGTTAAAGGCCCCCAGAGCCCACAAGAGGCTATCAGGCTAGAGTGACGGGCATACTGCTCACCTATAAAGGGGCCATCACCCCGAGTTTTCAGCCGTACCCCGGCCCCCAGCTCAAGTTCCATCGCCTCCATCTCTGACTCAGGCATCCAGAACGCCACTGTCTGGTCGGGGGTGAGGCTCTCTGTCAGTGCCAGCAGCTCGATCTTATTGACCAGCCCCTTTAGCTCCTCCGTTGTGAGCCTGTCGCTGTCTCCTTTGGCTTCCACTTCTGCAGGCACACAGAACAGCAGGTTATTAGGGTGAATAGCAAGGACTAACAGAGGGCCTTTTAGGTGATGGCTGAGTGTTTTTGTAGAACTAAGAATTGAGCCCAAGGATGTTCTACCACTGAGCTACATCCCTAGCCCTTTTCATTTTTTTATTTTGAAGCAAAATTTTGCTGAGATTTCCAGGCTGGTCTTGAACTTGAGATACTCCTTAGAATCTTTGTTAGCAGCTGGGATTACAGGCATGTGCCACCAGGCCCAGCTGGCTGAGTGTTTTACATGCTCACAACCACCTGTGGGATAGGGCTCTTAGTACCGTTCTGGTAGTATTCATCAGAGGAGCTACAAGCTGGACTTTGGAGCTGGGCTGCCTGGAGCAAATCTGGACAAATAACTCAACTTCTGACACTGAAAAATAGGATAAAAATGATGCCTACCCAACAGGACCCATTCATGGCACCATAGCCTTGGCCAGCAGTCAGGATCACCCCTGGGACTCCCCCAGAAATCCTTGCTTACGCGGAGGACACTCAAAATGTTCCATTCTCCTCTATCCTTTCCCCTGACCAACAACTCCCAAATAAACCATCTCACCTACTTTTCAAGATTAACAGAAATCATCAGGTGGTATCTCTTGCTTACCTGACACCAAATACCTTGTCAATTTGCCTCTGACTACAAGACCACTCTCCTCTTTTCCTTCTATCTCAAAGGATAAGAGATTCTCCTTCCTGCCCAGATCCTGTCCCTCCATCTGGGTCCCAGAAATCCTCATTCCTCCAGGACTGGTCTCTCATTCTATGCTCCCTGATCTTTCCTCAACTTCTTCTTGCATTCTAGTTTTGACAGCCACTGCCCCAGACCCTGCCCACCCCCATCAGAGTCCTGGGGTAGCTCTTCACTGTTAACCCTCTGACACTCTTCCCATCTTCTCATTCCCTGGACATTACCTGCCTACCCTGCTAGCTCCCCACTCCTGCTTTCCTTCAGAGACATAACACCTTCCCCATTTCCTTCAGACTTTTCCAGTGGTTCTGTTTCCTGATCCTTATGGGATTCTCCAAGTCTCCAATAGAAGTGCTACTGACAACTCTAACCTAGTGTGAGCCAAACAGTACTCTTCCCCCTAAACCTGTTCCCCTCACTCCTACATTCCCTCAAGCCTGGTACCCAAGTCCAACTTCTGGAAACATCCCTGACTCATTCTACTTTCTCCCTTCATATCCAGTCTAACCCTGAGGCCACTGTCCAGCTCCATATGAAACTGGTCCAGTCTCTCACTCCCCAATGACATATCCTTCAATCTGGTCCTCTTATCTCCATCCCAGCTTACCCTAACAGCCTCTGAATAGGCTTCCCTGGTTTCCAGTTGATTCGCTATCCCAGAGCATTTAAAACCAAATCTAGCAGGCATAGTGGCACACACCTGTAATCCCAGCAACTTGGGAGGCAGAGGCAGGAGGATCACAAGTTTGAGGCCAGTCTCAACAACTTAGCAAGACCTTGTCTCAAAAAATAAAAGCACTAGGGAGATAACTCAGGGGTAGAGTGCCATCTGGGTCCAATCCCTAGTGCTGCAAATAAATAAATAAATAAATAATAAAAACAAATTTAATCACATCACTTAGCTACGTAATATCACTCACTAAAGGGCTCCCCAGCAGCCTCCATTTAAGTTCAGCCCCTTCGTGCCCATGCCCCTTTTGCTACCTAGCCTGCACAACTTCTTGTCACCAGATCAATCCCTATCTTTTGACGCACTGTCTTCTTTCTGAAACATCTTTCCAAGCTCTAGCACCCAGCTAATTCCTGTTAGCTATCAGGAATCAGTGCTGCTGGTCTCTCGTCCAATGCATGCCTGACTATGACTATCTGGGGCTCAGAACCCTTCCAGCTTCCAATCATCCACCCGTCCATCTCCTCTACCAACTGAGACTATCTTGAGTACAAGATGGAATCCTGTTCATCCCTGGAGTCTCAGCACATGGGATGCTCACAAAATATTCAGAGAATTAATGAGCAACTGAAAACATGAATGAACAGAATGAGAGATTCCCACTCAATCTCAAAACCTTCTTACCCAGCAGCAGAGAGCAATGAGATACCTTTTGCAGTCAAAATTGGGAAATAGAAGAAAATCATGAAGTACCTACTAAGGTCTTAATGTGCCTCCTTGAAATCCATATGTTGATCACTGTTATGGTTTGGATGTGAGGTGTCCCCAAAAGTTCATGTGTGAGACAATGCAAGAAGGTTCAGAGGAGAAATGACTAGGTTATGAGAGCCTCAATCCAATCAGTGAGTTAATCCCCTGATGGGAATTAACTGACTGACAACTGAAGGTGGGTAAGATGCGGCTAGAGGAGGTGAGCACTGGGGGCCTGTTTTGAGGGGTATATATTTCTTATCTCTCTCTGCTTCCTGATCATCATATGAGCTGCTTTCCTCCACTACACTATTCTGCTATGATGTTCTGCCTCACTTTGAGCCCTGAGGAATGGAGCCGGCTTCTTATGGACTGAGACCATGAAACTGTGAGTCCCCAAATAAACTTTTCCTCCTTAAAATTGTTTTTGTCAGTTCTTTTAGCCACAGTAGTGAAAAAGCTGACTAAGTCACCAATGTGAGAGTATTAAGAAGTTGGGCCTTTTGGAGGTGATTAAGCCCTTATGAATGAGATTGACATCCTTATAAACGAGATGGAGGGAGCCTAGCATGGTGGCACATGCCTGTAATCTCAGCAACTTGGGAGGCTGAAGAAGGAGGATCATAAATTCAAGGTCAGCCTCAGCAACTTAGTGAGACTCTGTCTTAAAATAAAAATTAAAAAGGGTTGGAGAGATAGCTTAATGATTAAGCATCCCTGGGTTCAATCCTCAGTACCCAAATAAGTAAATAAACAAGGTGGAGGGAGCTACTTTGCCTTTCTGCCTTGTGAGGACTTAGCAGGAAGGCACCATCTTTGAGGCAGAGAGAAGCCCTCGCCAGACGCTGAATCTGCTAGAATCTTGATCTTGGATTTCCCAATCTCCAGTACTGTGCATAATAAATCTCTGTCATTTATAAATTGCCCAGTCTAAAACATGGTTGTATCAGCACAAATGGTCAGAGACAGGGCCCAAGAACCAAATGGGGATTCTCGCAGAAAAACAAGCTCCCGGGGGCTTGGCTGGGTCTCTGGATCTCTGTGCAAAGATAGTAAGAGTCCACAGCCAAGTTTGTGGACAGTTTTGCCATGCTGCAGAAATGGCAGGAGTTGGGAAGGCCAGCCTGGCCCCTGGGACAGAGATGGGGCAATGGGAATCTTCTGAGCAAGTATGGCGAAGGAATGAGTCCATCAGGGAACCTCGGATCAGACATCTGGAGTCAAGGCCAAACATGCTAAGATGCCACTTTAGAAGGGCCCAGAGGCTCAGAAGACAGACCAGCCACACTGTCAGAGGGCCCTGAGGGAGGAAGAGCTGAGGATACCTACTGTAGGATGACATGAGGAAGCCTGTGTTCACCTTCCTGGTCGCGCTGAAGTTGGGCTCGATTTCATTTCCCTTGGAGTCAAATTTACGGCAGTGGATACAACTGGGCCGAATGTACAGCACGTAGTAGCGTTCCTGGGGCCAGGGAGAGACAAAGTGAGGAGGGCTGCTCCACTTCCCACCAACACACACACTCTGGGCTCTGGGAGCAGCTCGGGCTGTCCTCACCCTCTACGCTGGCGTCGCACTCAAATATTTATTCATTCCTGTGTTCACTAGAGCACCTGCCACAAGGTGCACCCTACCGGACATCCATGACAGGGAAGGCCAGGGTCTGACCCCAGGGCTTCCAAACAGCCAAGGGCTGAAAATATATGCAGGAAACTGTAACTTAAGCAAGAGGGATACCAAATATCAAAAAGCAAGAGTACTGTGAAAAGGGCACTGAAGGGGAGCCCTAAGGAAGGACAGCCACTCGGCCCCTTTCAACAGATGTAGTGCCTGCGGCAAAGGATTCTCAGCCTCCTGAGCCTCCGTTTCTCCTATCGCTTGGTAACAGAGTGATATCCCCTTTCAGGAGTGTTGTATGAGCTCAGTGACATCCTGGAGAAGGAAGCACAGTGCAAAGCAGGAAGTACCCTATCTATGCTATTTGCCAACTATTCTAAACAAAACAGGTGGAAGAATTGTCCCCCTAAGCTGTAGAAACAGAGACCACTTCCTGGGAGAAAGAAGGAAAGATAAGTCTCGAAAGGTGAAGAAATCTGCGATGGTAGGAACAAGGGTGTAGGAAGAATATTAAAAGTCTGGGACAGGTACACAAAGTAAAGGTCAAGAGGCCCATGTGCATGTTTGAGCAACACAGGACACTGGGAGGCTCCTGGGAGCTCAGGCTGGGGAAGATAAGTGGGGCTGATTTGAGACAGGCCTTGAGCTGGCATTTGGAGCTTGAACTTTATTTAGTAGACAAGAAGGAATCCTGAAAGATTTAGGGGCAGCAGTAAGACCCTCAGAGATGTCTTTCTGGAAACAATTTGGCAGCAGGCCAGGGATGAGCTTTGGGGGCAACCAGAAGGCAGGAAGACAGGTGTAAGGTTTTGTCAGAACCAGCTGAGGACCCATCAGAGGAGGGAAGACATAGAAAGGAGAAAAAAGGGGAGGGAAAAAAATGGTTAGGTAAGAGCCCAGCAGGAGGTGGCACTGCTTACCTGGGGAGCAGGGAGGAGGCAACAGTAGGGGTTTTCAGGCCAGTGACTGGAAAGGCTATTACACTATCATCAGGAATGAGGAACTTGGAAGAGGCAAATTTGGAGAGGGGCTGGGCAAATACCCTGCCTGTGTGAGCACAGCCAAGGCAGACAAGTCCCACACCAGTGTGGGGGTACGTCAGGCTCTCCTGGGCAGGCTGGCTTGGGGATCTGGCCTGCTCAATGCACAGTAAAGAGGTGAGAGTGCTGGCAAAGCCTCTCTGGGCATGAAAATAGTAGTGAGCTGAGGCTTTTCTGTGGGATGTATGAGAGAAACAGGCTTCATGTAGGTACCAGGCCTCTCATCACACAGGGGGCATTTTGAGGAGCTGAGTTTTACAGACCAAGATAAGGTGATTAGCACATCTGTGTGGGGCTGTTTCAAAGAGGGGAGGAGCAAGGCTCTGTGGCACTTGCCTGTAATCCAAGCAACTCAGGAGGTTGAGGCAGAAAGATCAAAAGTTCAAGGCCAGCCTCAGCAACTTATAGAGACCTTGTCTCAAAATAAAATATATAAAGAGTTAGGGATGTAACTCAGTGGTACAGTATCCCTGGGTTCAATCCCCAATAACAAAAATAAAAAATTAAAAAAAAAAGAAAGAGAAAAAGAAATGCAGAACTAGTGCTCAGAAGAGACACAGGCTAATATAGGACGGTGAATGCCAGGTGTGTCCATGGACACCTGAGATGGAGTGGTAATAAGGAGCATGATGCCAGGAAGCTGAGAGGACTAAGGTCAAAGGAGCATTTGTATGGGAACTGAAGGTCCAGGCAGCAACACAGACTTTACATTCTCGTTAGATTGGGTGGAAGGTCTGGTCTGTTTTCTCAGCTGTGACCCAGGCTTTTCTAGCAAGAACCAGGTACACCCCCTGTCTGCCACCCAGCACAGCCCTACCTGCCCTCTTTCTACTCACTGGTCCCACCTGATCTCTCCACCTGTTCTGTGAGTCCATCATTAAAGGGACTAGATCCCAAGTCAGAGCCCAACAATAAGAAGATACCTCATGGGAAAGGACTGAGATGTTTCAGAGGGTAAGGGTGACCCTGTGAGGGCCACCAAGGACACATCCTCACCTTCTTGCCATGGGCATCTAAGATGCTATGCCGAGATACATCCACCAGTTCTCCCTCCAGCAGGACGCCATTCCCCCTGGGGATGAGAATGAAAGAAGGGGTGGTTGGTTTTGTCAGTCCTCAGGAAACAGCGATGACTCAAGTTCAGTGGCCCATGCCAGAGTCTGCATTGTGACAGAACCAAATCCCACCAGATCTCCTATTTGCCTGGCAGAAAGCAGCCCCTCTCTGCACTTCCCATATGGGAACCTCCATCCCTATAAAGCTTCCAAAAGCTGGGACATGGTCAAAAGTATAGAAGGAACCATGTCAGCCTGCCCTAAGATCAAGCTATGACCCCCTGCATTAGGGAGGTATTATCTTATTAGTCTTCTTATGTACAAAACAGGGAGAAAAATGGTTACCTCACGCTGCTCCTTTGATGATGGCATGAGATTCTGTACACGAAAGTATTTTGTTGATCAGGATTGTTTTGGTACAAACAAACTTTTAATAAGTTTTGGTTTCTTAAGTTTTAATTCAGTGTGGTCTGTGTCTAACATGTTTACCTACATATCAATGTCTTGGAATTGTATCACAAGAGGGAAGAAACTAAGTTTGCCACATATACCAAAAACTATTGTAAATTTCTATATAAAGAATAAAAGAGAGGTCTGGGGTTGGGGCTCAGTGGTAGAGTGGTCACCTAGCATGTGTGAGGCACTGGGTTCCATCCACAGCACCACATGAAAATAAATAAAGTTATTGTATCCATCTACAACTAAAGAAAAAAAAAGAATAAAAGAGAGGAGATCCAAGATGGTGGACTAGAGGGAAGCTGCATTCCTCATCTCACCGTGATTTGGGATACAAGCAGAGGAAATACTGTTTCTGTGAGAGTTGCTGCCTACCAATCTGTCACCCTTTGCCACCCCCATGCCTTTGCCACACACTGGGATTGCCTGCCATTTCCCCGCAGACCACCAGCCATTAGCCTGTGGATTGCCACTGCCCAATGCTGCCTGGAGGTCCACTGTCAGAGTACCCGCAGGTTTGGTTACAAGCAGCCACCACCATCTGCAGACACAGGCCAGGGCCTGGAAGTCCAGGGCCTAGGGACGTGCAGGTTTATGCTGCCATCTCAGGGAACACTGGCCAGTCTGGGGATATGGGCCAGGACCTGGAGATCTATTCTCAGTATACCTTCAGGTCTGTTGCACCTGAGGGCTCCCTGCTGCGTGTGCTAGTGGCCACCATTTGGATGCCTTTTTTACAGGGTTGCTCCTTTGTATGAGTGCATCCCTGGTGGTCCCCTCTGCAAGTTAAAACAGCATTGAAATCTTGGGACTGCAGCAAGGCAGAGCCTGGGGAATCTGAAGCCCAGATGCCTTAGATTGTGGCTGGGTCTGTGTGGCCCAGACTGGGCTTGGCAAGCCTGTGGAAAGCTGGAGACTGGGGACAGGATTTGGGGGAAGCACAGGTTGGAGAAACTAGAGAGAACCAGGCTCTCTCCACCTCAGTGAGTCCTGATGTGCAAGGGGACAGAAGGGGACAGCTACAATGGGTACAAAGACTGGAAGAGGGTGCTATCGGCTCACCCAGCCAACCAGTCCGGCATCCACCAGAATGGAGCTACCATCAACTTTGACAACCATAACTATGGCAGAGAAGGGAAGCTAAGAAACGTTGGAACATGAATGGAAATGATTGTTCAATATTCCATTGAGACTTTCCTGTTCTTTTTTTTTTTTTTTTTTCTTTTTTGGCCCTCTCTGTCTCACACCTCTACCATCTTTAAAACCAAACATTTTTCATGCATCAATTTATTGAGGAAAGGGACATCTGAATAGTACATTGCATGTGTATTCTATATTTTTACATTTTAAAAAATCTACATATATTTCCTCTCACTTATTTGCCTCCCCTGATTCTCTTTCTCACTTCTCTCATGCTAACAGCCAACTTCTATTAATTCCTCCTTCGCTCTTACTATAAATTTTTACCTCTATCTTCTCTCCATCTCCCTCATAAATATCACATCCTACACTACTTCTGTTCCCTCTTTGTCCATCAATTGAAACAGTAAACCCTTTGAGCAAACTTACTGTTTATACTGTAGATAATAATTAAACGCCTCATTTCTGTTTATTGCAACAAAACTATAGATGCCTTAATAGGAGCTATTTGGTGTAAGGCTGTATATTGCTTGTATGGGTGCTGTTAATATTGGTGTCCTCCTTAAAGGTAAGGTACTGGAAACCTTCATGGACACTATACGATTGCAGGGTAGAAACTGTACTGCCTCAGATCCATACAATTAGATGGTAAGACAACATGAAACATGAAAAACAACATGAAAAAACAAGGGGAAAAACCATCTCAAACAAACCAAGATGTTCCAACAATAGAATCCATAGATAACACAGTACAAGAAATGTCAGAGTAGGAGTTTAGAAGGTGCATAGTTAGGATGATCTTCAAAATAAGGTATAGATGGTATTAGAGAGAAAGTACAGGAAGTGAAAGATCACTTCAATAAAGAGGCAGAGACAATAAAAAGGAATCAAGCAGAAATCCTCAAAATGAAGGAAACAATAAACCAAATTAAAAATTCAATGGAAAGTATCCCAATAGACTAGACCTCTTGAAGACAGAACCTTAGTCAATGAATACAAAATATTTCTTTTGAAAATAAAGTTGACTATACAGAGAAGATATTAAGAAACCATGAACAGAACATCCAAGAATTATGGGATAACATAAAAAGACCAAATTTAAGATTTATTGGGATAGACAAAGTTGTGAAGATACAAACCAAAGGAATGCACAATCTTTTCAATGACGTGATATAAGAATGAAATAGAAAATTATCTATAAGAGGCTTTTGGGACCCCATAGGTACAAAATTACAGCAGACCCACACCGAGGCACACTATAATGAGAATGAATAACAGACAGAAAGAGGATAGACTTTTAAAGGCTGCAAGAAAAAAAATGTCAAATTACATATAAGGGAAAACAAATTTGGATCTCAGCTAATTTCTCAGCCCATACTCTAAACACCTGGAGGTCCTGGAATAATATTTATCAAGCTCTGAAAGAAAATGGATGTCAACCAAGAATTGTAGAGCCAGCAAAGCTAAGCTTCAGATTTGAAGATGAAAGAAAAACCTTTCATGATGAACAAAAGTTAAAAGAATTCACAACTAGAAAGACTGCACTATAGAATATTCTCAGCAAAATACTGCATCAGGATGAAATGAGAAAAAAAAATGAAAACCAGCAAAGGGAGGAACTACACTAAAGGAAAAGTCAGAGGAGAAACTAAGACAAGTTAAAAACCAAAAATAAACCAAAATGACCAGGAATACAAATCATATCTCAATAATATCCCTGAGTGTTAATGGCTTAAGTTCATCAATCAAAAGACATGGACTAGAAGATTGGATTTTTACAAAAGAACCAACAATATTCTATCTTCAAGAGACTCACCCTCTAGGAAAAGACATCCACAGACCGCTGAAGGTAAAAAGTTGGGAAAAAACATATCACTCATATGGACTGCATAACCAAACAGGGGGTTCCATCCTCATATCATCAGATAAAGTGAAATTCAAGCCAAAGTTAGTCAGAAGGCATAAAGAAGGACATTTCAGACTGTCTAAGGGAATCATACATCAACAAGACATAACAATCGTAAATATTTATGCCCAAACCATGGAGCATCTACATACATCAAACAAACCCTTCTCAATTTCAAGAATCAAATAGACCACAACACAATAATACTGAGTGACTTTAATACACCTCTCTCACTACTGGATAGATCTTCCAAACAAAAACTAAACAAAGAAACTATAAACTAGATAATACAATCTATAATTTAGACTTAACAAACATATATAGAGTATTTCATCCTTCAAGCAGCGAATATACTTTCTTCTCAGCAGACATGGATCCTTCTCTAAGAGAGACCATATGTTATGCCACAAAGCAACTCGTAGCAAATACAAAAACGTAGAAATACTACCCTGCATTCTATCAGATCACACCAGAATGAAACTAGAAATCAACAATAAAATTAAAAATAGAAGCTACTCCAACAACTGGAGACTAAATAACAATCTATTGAATGACAAATGGATAGCAGAAGAAATCAGGGAGGAAATAAAAAAATGCTTAGAGGTAAATGAGAACACCAATACAACATATCAAAATCTCTGGGACACTAAGAAGGTAGTGCTAAGAGGAAAATTCATTGCATTGAGCTCATTCATTAAAAGAATAAAAAGTCAACATATAAATGACATAACATTACATCTCAAAGCCCTAGAAAAAGAAGAACAAATAAACAGCAAAAGCAGTACAAGACAGGAAAGTATTAAAATCAGCTGAAATCAATAAAAATGAAACAAACAAACAAAAAAACCAATTCAAAACACTGACAAAACAAAAAGTTGGGTCTTTGAAAAAATAAATAAGATTGATAAACCCTTAGCTATGCTAATAATGGAGAAAACTCAAATTACTAATACTCATGATGAAAAAGGAAATATCACAATGGACACTACTGAAATACTGAAGATAATTAGAAACTACTTTGAAAATTTATACTTCAATACAACAGAAAAATTCAAAGACATTGAAAAATTTCTAGAGACATATATTACTCAAACTGGATCAGGAGTTTAACAATTTAAACAGATCAATTTCAAGCAATTAAATAAAAGTCGCCATCCAAAGCCTACCAACCAAGAAAAGCCTAGGATCAGACAGATTCTCAACCAAGTTCTATAAGACCTTCATAGAAAAATTAACACCAATACTCCTCAAATTATTCCCTGAAATGGAAAAGGAGGAAACCCTTCTAAACTCATTCTATGAAGCTAGTATCACCCTGATACCAAAACCAGACAAAGACACATCAAGGAAAGAAAACTTCAACAGACTAATATCCCTGAGGAACATAGATATAAAAATTCTCAATAAAATTCTAGCAAATCACATTCTAAACATATAAAAAAGATAGTGTGCCATGATCAAGTGGGGTTCATCCCAGGGATGTAAGGTTGGTTCAATATACAGAAATTAATAAATATAATTCATCACATCAATAGATGTGATGATAAGAATAATATGATAGATGCAGAAAAAGCATTTGACAAAATACAGCACCCATTCATGTTCAAAACACTAGAAAAACTATGCACAATACAAACATCTCAATGTTTTACAAACATACATTATAAAAGCTATCTTTGCTAAGCCCAAAGCCAACATCATTCTAAATGGAGAAAAACTGAAAGCATTCCCTCTAAAAACTAGAACAAGAAAAGGAGGATGCATGCTCCCACCACTTCTATTCAACATAGTCCTTGAAATTCTTGCCAAAGCAATTAGAAGAAAGAAGTTAAAGTAATATGAATAGGAAAAAAAGAACTCAAACTATCACTGTTTGCCAATGACATGATTCTATATTGAGAAGATCCAAAAAATTCCACCAGAACACTTCTAGAATAAATGAATTCAGTAAATAGCAGGATATAAAACTAATACCCATAAATCAAATGTATTTCTATATATCAGTGATGAATTCACTGAAAGAGAATTAGGGAAACTATTCACAGTAGCCTCAAAAAAATAAAATCCTTGGGAATCAATCTAACAAAAGAGGTGAAAGACCTCTACAATGAAAACTACAGAACACTAACGAAAGAAATTGAAGAAGACCTTAGAAGATGGAAAGATCTCCCATGTTCTTGGATAGGCAGAATTAGTATTGTCAAAATGGCCATACTACCAAAAGCATTATACAGATTTAATGCAATTCCTATGAGAATCGCAATGACATTCTTCATAGAAATAGAAAAAGCAATCATGAAATTCACTTGGAAAAATAAGAGACCCAGAATAGCCAAAGCAATCCTTACCAAGAAGAGTGAAGTAGGAGGCACCACAATACCAGAGCTCAAACTCTACTACAGAGCTATTGTAACAAAACAGCATGGTATTGGCACCAAAGTAGGCCAATGATAAAGAATAGAAGATACAGAGACAAACCCACACAAATACGGTTATCTCATACATTCGAAAAAAGATAGCCTCTTCAACAAATGGTTCTGGGAAACCCAAAACTCAACTCAAGGTGGATCAAAGGCAAGCACTAGAACAGAGACCCTGTGCCTAACAAAAGAAAAAGTAGGCCCAAATCTGCATCATGTCTGCTTAGGATCCGACTTCCTTAACTGGACACTTAACAAGCACAACAAGTAAAATCAAGAATCAATAAGTGGCATGGATTCAAACTAAAAAGGTTCTTCTCAGCAAAGGAAACAATAACTTGAAGAGAGATCCTACAGAATGGGAGAAAATCTTTACCACATATACTTCAGGTAGAGCACTAATCTCCAAGATATACAAAAAATTCTAAAAACTTAACTGCAAAAAAAAAAAAGTCAATAAATGGGCTAAGGAACTGAACAGACACTTCACAGAAAAAGAAATACAACTGATCAACAAATATTCATAAAATGTTCAACATCTCTAGTGATTAGAGAAATGCAGATCAAAGGTACTCTAATTTTTTTTTTTTTTAAAGAGAGAGTGAGAGAGGAGAGACAGAGAGAGAGAAATTTTAATATTTATTTTTTAGTTCTCGGCGGACACAACATCTTTGTTGGTATGTGGTGCTGAGGATCGAACCCGGGCCGCACGCATGCCAGGCGAGCGCGCCACCGCTGAGCCACATCCCCAGCCCGGTACTCTAATTTTTCATCTCACACCAGTCAGAATGGCAATCATCAAGAATACAAGCAATGATAAATGTTTATGAGGATGTAGGGGAAAAGGCACACTCATACATTGCTGGTGGGACTACAAATTGGTACAGCCAATGTGGAAAGCAGTATGGACATTCCTCAGAAAACTGGGAATAGAACCACCATTTGACTCAGCTATCCCACTCCTCTGTTTATACCCAAAGGACTTAAAATCAGCATACTACAGTGATGCACCTATATCAATATTTATAGCAGTTTAATTCACACTAGCTCAACTATAAAACCAACCTAGATGTCCTTCAACAGATGAATGGATGAGAAAATATGGTGCACATACATAATAGCATATTACTCAGCCTTAAAGAATGAAATTATGGCATTTTCAGGTAAATGGATGGAGGTGAAGAATATCATGCTAAGCGAAATAAGCTAAGGCCAAATGTTTTCTTTGATAAGCAGATGCTGATCTATAATTCACATAGGGGATGGGAGGTAGGGAAGAATGGATAAACTTTGGATTGTGAAGTGGGGTGTGAATGAAGGGGAGGTGGTTTGGGGGTGGGAAGGATGGTGGAATGAGAAGACATTATGACCCTATATTCATGTATTATTACAGGACCAGTGTGACTCTGCATCATGTAAGGCCAGAGGGAGAAGTTGTGCTCCACTTGTGTATAACGTCAAATGCATTCTGCTGTCATGTATAACTAACTAGAACAAAATTTTTTAAAAAGAATAAAAGAATAGTTTCTAAAACAGAGAGAAAAAGAAAAAAGGAAGTATTTTGTAAACTTTAAGTGCTTACTAAATATAAAGAATTTACTTTTTACTTTAAGCAAATTTGGGGCCTGTGTCTAAGCTTCTATAAATTATCTTCCATTTTCACCTATTTTGAAACAGTTCCATATTTTTGTTCTCATTCATACCCATGTGATCATCAACCCAAAGAAAAGGGTTTTGTCACTATAGAGGTGGGGAACTTGAGACTAAGTTTGGAGACCAGCTGAAGATCAGAGGGTACCGCCCTCTGAGGAACTGGATCCTCCTCCCCACTCCTGATTCTAGTTTTCATAAAAGCAGATCCTAGGAGCTTCCTTTTTTAGAATCATATAAAAAGGAAAGGAGTGGGCATCACTAAAGATGATAGTGGAAAGGGATGGGACAAGAAGCAAAAACTCACACTACCTCACTTGCCTCTATCTACTCCCTCCCCCCAAATTATATTTTAAAATATTTAACTGATAAAGAATTGTATATATTCAAGGTGTACAATGTAGTAACTTTATATACATACATACACATTGTGTAATGATAATCACAATCAAATTAACAAACACATCCATCACCACCCATGCAGTACATTAGATCCCCAGAACTTGTTCCTCATATAAATCAAACCTTTTGATTATATCCTGGCTTCCTCCTCCTTCTCCAATCCCCCATTCCTGAAAACCTCTGATCCTCTCTCTGCTTCTGAGTTACACTTTTTTAGATTCCACATAGAAGATCCTAAGGTATTTGCCTTTCTGAGTCCAGTTGATTACGCTTAGCATAATTCTTTGGTGTCTGTAATTGTAAATGGAATGAGTCATGCTTCTCATAACGCAGGGGCCGGGCCGGGCCTTCCTTCTCCAGCCCGCCTGGGTTCCTCCACACCCGGCTCCAGGGCTGTTCCTGCGCTAGCCCAGCCCCATAATACCGACTCCCACCGCTGTTCCGGTGACTAATGGCCACCGTCCCTTCTGGGGCAGGGCACAAGCCTGTGCAAAGGCCTGGAAGCACAGCAGCATGACAAATGGCTGAAATTTATAGCCAACTGAAGCACCGCCTTTGGAGCCTCGGTTGGAGGTCGGGATTCTCTCCCCGGAGGACCCGCATCTTCTGGGGTTCGGGGTGCGCAGTGGGCAAGGGCACTGGGAGGCGTGGGCTTTTCCTCCCCCTCGCGTCCCACCCCAGCCTCGGAGCGGGGTTCAGACCCCAGGAGTGGAGGCAGCCGAGGCCGCGCGCCCAGGCCCCGGGCGCAGTCTACCCGCGGCGGCGGCGGGGACCGGCGCGGGCTTGGCGCTCACTGCCTACCCCTGGTAGGTGGCGGGGTCCCAGGCCCCGGGCAGTCGCGCGCTCTGCACCGCCTTGTTCCGGAGGGCGCTGTCGTGATAGATGCGGCTCATTATTCCGACCGCCGAGGCCACGGGGTGCGGTGCCGGGAGCCGCCGGCGCACCCGGGGTGCACAACGCGGGGAGGCGCCTGGAGGCCGAGCCGGGATCAGCACCGCCAGGCCCTCAGGTCCCGACCGCGCGGCTCGGCCCTGGGCGTTCCCGGCCGGGATTTAAAGGGGCCGAACTCCACTCCTGGCCGCCACACGCTGCGCGGTGCGGGAGCGAGGAGGGGGGTTACGGAAGCACTCAAGGCTAGGTGCTTATCACCAGTCACGTCCTTCTCTTCCTTCTCTTTGCTCTCCTCGTTTTGCCTTCCTCGTTACTAAAAAGGAAATCCCTGCCCCAGCGCACACACAAAGGGGGAAATTGAGGCCCAGAGATCCTACAGGATCTTTCTTAGGATTCGCTCTGGAAGGATGTTTTTCCAGGGATCAGGAATGGAGAAGAGGGAAAAGCCCTCTTGAGTGGTCAGCATAGAAGCAACCTTTTATGCCGGGTCCGCAGTCCCACAATAGCTGGGAGAGGAGTTCCAGGGATCAGTGACGAAGGAGTCTGGGATTGGGTGTCAGACTAAAGACACACGGAAGTTTGAATCCCTGCCGTAGGTGTGAGCTTGGTTAAGTTCTTCAGCCTTTCTGAGCCCTCGCTTCTTTGTGGAATGGAGTCTGTATCAGAGCGGTTCTAAAAATGCATTACCTTTCCATAGCATGCTTTACCCGCCCAACCGCCCTCTTCCCACACAGTTCCTGGTCTTCTCCGACCCTGGGATTGTTGGGAAGCCTTAATTCTCTGGTTTGGCCAGTTCGTGGCAGTCCCTGGGGCAAACGGGCTCATTGGAGGGATCCAAGTATGCCCTTTGGGAGAACACTGAAAGGAGACGCAACCAAGCAGACACCTGGGAGGGTGAGCTGTCAATGTTGGAAGAAACAACCTCTCCCACACACAGGACATTCGTGTGTCCCAGGCACTTTAGCTTTCAAGAGCCCCTTTCCTCCATAAAATTTTTAAAATTTTTAAAATTCTATTTTAGCACTGGGTTAGTATAAGAATGAATATATTAATATTATATATTAAAACTTTTATTCGGCCTAAAAAATTTTTAAAGAAACTAATATGGGCACCGGTGGCCCCTGCCTTACTCCAGCTACTCAGGAGACTGAAGCAAGAGGATGGTAAATTTGAGGCCAGGCTGAGCAACTTAGAAAGACCCTGCTTGGCGCTCACTGCCTACCCCTGGTAGAAAGCAACTTAGAAAGACCCTGCCTCAAAAAAATAAAAATAGAAAAGCCTGGGAATGTAGCTCCTGTTAGAGTGTGCCTGGGATCAATACCCAGTACTAGAAAAAGAGAGAAGAAAGAAAAAGAAAAAAGGCCCCTAAAAGTACAATGGGACCTAGGCATTGTGTCCAATGGATTAGTCAGCCCCACCCTCTATCTGGCCTCCCTGGTTGTTCGGTTCATGTTCCAGAAAGAAGGATAAAGAAAAGACCTACTGGGAAGTCCCTCTGGGAAGAATGGTCCTTTGACCTTGTCTCCTCAAGGGTCTCTAATTAGCCTCCCAGCTAATGGGCAGGCTGAGGCAGGAGGATGAAGTTCTGAGGCCAGTCTGGGAAACTTAGCAAGACCCTCTCTAAAAATAAAATAAAAATACCTGGGAATGGAGCTCAGTGTTAGAGTGCATGCCTAGCATGTGTGAGGCCCTGTGTTCAGTCTGTGGCTCTCCAAAAATAAATCAGTAGAGATACTTTAATTAAACCTAAAATTTTTAATTCAATTCTTTAGTCCCACTGGCTGCATTTAAGGGCTTCACAGCAACATGTGGTTAGTGGCTACCATTTTAGACAGCACAAATGCAGAACTTCGTAATCCTCGAAGAAAATTCTATGGACAGGGCTGCTCTAAGTCCTTTCTTATAAAACAGTTATCTCCTTATTAGGCTCTACAAATTCACCCCATTAAGACAATCTACAGACCAGGCATCAGCAAGGCAGAGGAACCTAACAGAACAAGAAAAAAACTTTTTTAAAGTTTTCAATATTTTTCTTAAAAAAATTGATTGTTTTGAGGGGAACAATCCAGAACTTTGATGGATTTTCTTTAGATAATTTACATTTATAAATGTCTTTCTGTTAAATTATAAACCACTGCACCAGGCATGGAGGTACCCACCTGTAATCCCAGTGATTCCGGAGGCTAAGGCAGGAGGATCAAAAATTCGAGGTCAGTCTCAACAATTTAGTGAGACCCTCAACAATTTAGCAAGACCCTGTCTCAAAATGAAAAATAAAAAGGGCTGGGATGAAGTTCAGTGGTTAAATGCCCCTAGGTCCCCAATACCAAAAATAAATAAATAAATAAATAAATAAGGTCAAGGATGTGACTCAATGGTAGAGCACTCCTGAGTTCAATTCCCAGATGATGATGATGATGATAATAATAATAATAGACCAAGAGGTACACCATGGAGAAAATTATCAAGTTATCTAAAGTTAATACTATATAACATTTGAATCTTGCTGCTGATTGACACCACTTGCTGTGATTTTTGCCATCATCACACTTTCTTTTACAATTTTGTCTTTTTATATTATTAGCAGAAGCAGATTTATAGGTGGAAAGATTTAAACCTCCAATCCCTCAGTCCATGTTTTTTTTTTTTTTTTTCTGGTGGTGGTACTGGGGATTAAACTCACGTCTCATATGCACCTTACCACTGAGTTACATCTTGTTTTATTTTTCAATTTTGAGACAGGGTCTCACTAAACTGCCCAGACTGGCCTTGAACTTGCGATTCTCCTGCTGCAGCCTCCCAAGTTGCTGAAATTACATGCATGTAATGCATGGACCCACCATGGACCTCTTTTGAGAACAGCAATGGATGAACCTTACAATAGGGTCACATCAGAGTGTGCTTTTGTAAAATTTTCATATATAAGGTAGTTTCACATCAATCAGTTAAGATCACCATCTCTTTTTGCCCAGAATTCTCCTTTGCCTCATGTAGGTTGATGGGGGAATGAGATCTAAGTGAGGGGACATTGATGTGGATGTGTTTAGTGTGGGTTCAGTGGAATCAATTCATGTGGTCTGTAGTCTTTGCACCTTAGTGGAAGATTGCCAGCCATCTTAGTGTAGGGATTCACTACCCCACTCTGAGATGACTTACCTGGTACAGGGCACAAAAGAGGTGATTCATCACAGTAGAAACGTGCCCTACAGTGCCTAGCACTGAGACTTTGTGGGTAATAAAGAAGAAACAAGATGTAAAATATAAAGAGCCAGAAGCTGGTGTGTAGAAATTTATTCCAGTCACTAGACAGGTGAAACTGTAAGTGAAGGATATGTTTCTCATTAACCCTAGTCCAAATCAAAATTCTCTCAGGAATGCTCTCATTAAAGAAGTTTTATGTAATTACAAACACACCAGCCTTTCTGTTTCCCTTTCTCTGGTCATTGGCCAAAATAAAATTCATCAGGATTCCTGTGTAGGGAACACACAAAACAATAAAGCAAACAAGAAGTGCATTTGTGTGTGGATTTGTAGGTTTCATGCATCAGATCACATCTTAACATATCTGACACATCTTGTCTTGACAAAGTCTGGTGGTTCCAGAAGAAATAGCTTGCTAAATTGCCATCAATGCAGTGAAACAGCCTGCAGAATATACACATCCACACCACAGAGTAAAAGATACAAAACAAAAGGAAGCACTCGAGAGAGAAATCATGACATAAAATAAGATGCCAGAAGGAGGACCAAACCTATTCATCATGCTACATCAATAAAGGCAAATGGAATAAACCTTGTTTGGAAAGAAAATCTATGATATGCCTTTCAATTGGACATCTTCTGTGCCTTTAAATGTCACATTTCTGCAGGTCTGTCCTGGCCTCTCCACTGACTTCACATAGAAACAACACTCCACGCCTCACTTCTTGGTCACTTTACCCCTGAGACAGATGGTCCCAAGTGTGTTGCTAGAAAAAAGACTCCTAGGACAGGATTGTGAAACTGAATTGCTTTCTGTTTTGATGGAATAGGGGCACTCTAACCTATGTTGAGTGAGTGCTGATAACTCTTGGCATAAAGTAGCATCAAAATTACTAAGGTTGTCACCTCTGGCTAGTTGGGGTGAGGTATAGGTGGAAGGTGAAATTGGGCTGGAAAATGGAGTGCCTGTGGCACTTGTCTGATATGGGGGCAATGATCATTAGAAGAAATATAGAGTAGGCCAACTTTTTTTAAAAAAATATTTTTTAATTATCAATGGACCTTTATTTTTATTTATATATGGTGCTGAGAATGGAACCCGCCCCCCGCCTCACACATGCTAGACAAGGGCTCTACCACTGAGTCACAACCCCAGCCCCAAGGCCAGCTTTTTTTTTGGGGGGGGGGCGGAGCCACATCTCCAGCCTTATTTTGTATTTTATTGGAGAGACAGGGTCTCACTGAGTTGCTTAATGCCTTGCTTTTGCTGAGGTTGGCTTTGAACTCAAGATACTCCTGCCTCAGTCTTCTGAGCTGCTAAGATTATAGGTATTCACTACCGCACCTTGCTGTTTGCAGTTTTTTTTTTAATAAAAAAATCGTATTTACTTAGAAGCATTTAGAATATCAACAATTGAAACTTTTTTTTTTGCAATTACAGAGTGATATTCAGTTAACAGAACAACAATTATCTCATATAAGCTGCATCAGAGACAACTGAAGATGAAAAACTACTGTCCCCATATATAACTAATTTGTGCTGGGCACCAACAAGAACCTGCTTTAAATTTCCAAGCCAATTTACAACCCCCATCCTGTACCAGGCAAGGTTAGTGGTGAGTGAAAATACCACCAGGAAAGGGCTATCTAAAGACACATTCAGTAGTGTGTTATCTATACAAAAAAAAAAAAAAAGACATTGTACAGTTTAAAAACAAATCTTACACAGCCTTGCATTTCAATTTTTTTCTTGAAAAAGAGTGAGTTGTGTACAGGAGGATTAAATGTTTTATAGACAAGGAAAAAAAAACTTCGCTAGAACCAACTTATTCATCCTCATCATCTTCTTCATCTTCCTCCTCTTCCTCCTCTTCCTTCTTTTTCTTGCTTTCTTCAGCCTTGACAGCTCCCTTTCTTGCTGCATC